GAGAATTTTGCTGTAAGAAGGATATTTTGGTTCCTTACATCATTGTCTACCAAATTGAAACTTTATAAATATCTTTCTTCAGTCTGTTTATCGTTTGTTTTGAATTTTCTGAAATTACTTTCGCATTGGTAAGGTTATTCTCTTCTTTAGATTTTGCCTCCACCTTCATCTAAGAGAGTAATAAATTGCTACTACCTCAGGGGCTACCACAAGAACTAAGTAAGAGAGATACTAGACCCAGTAGTTAGCACATAACAAGCATTTAACATTAACTCAGATTATCATAAAAATAGAAAAATATTTCTGCCTTAGATAAATTATTCACAAAAGAGGTACTTAAATAATTTTGAAGTACATCTTTTTCTCCTAAAACAACGTATTTTTGAATCATCTCCTCTACTTCAAAAAAAAAAAAACCATTGGAACTTACTCTAAGTAATAGACATTATCAGAATTCATGACAGTTTTAGGTATGTTGTTTATATTAACTGTATGCATGTATGACATGACAGTATATGAAATTTGGTTAAATGTGACTGAACAAAAAGTAAATATAGTTGATATTTATAGATATTTTATCATAATGACATTACATAATAGATACTTTTCTCATTTTTTTGTAGAGGCTTTTAGAACCTAACCCTCAGTTAATATAAGCATTTTCCTTACTCTCTTTCCAAACATAATAATATTCTAGAATCATTTCAATTACATTCATTATTTGAAATCCTAAAAAGACAAAAATTAAGAAAGTGCCAATAAGTGTCTCTCCATAGTATTTCTTTGTGACTTGTACCTTTGGATGAAGTGCATTTCACCAGGTGGTTTTTCTTTCAGAGTAAAAAGCCAAGTCCTATGTGTAGACCTACAAAGCCTACATGATCTGAGCACGCCTGCCCTAACTCCTCTTAGGCCTTCTGCTATTATTTGTCCCCACTTACTGACAGCAGCCCCACTGGCCTCCCAGCTGCACTTTACCCTAGAAGCTCTGTATTGTTCTCCCTCTGTCTGCAGTCTCCCTCCCTGATAAATCTACAGGCCTGACCTCTTCACTTCCTTAAGTATTGGCTCTCACTCACCTTCTCAATGCATCTGTCTACCTATTCACTATAGTTACTGTAGTGAAATTATTGTTCCTACTCATCTCCCTTTCTCTGTCCTATTCTTTTTCCCTCCCTGAAACACCATTTGTTACATTGACTTCATTATAAGTAAACTAAAGGCCATGAACACACTATTAGGTCTGAAAGGCAGAATTGAGTTGTTTGTCAGATAGGCACATCTTCCACCAAAAGTGCCTTTGCCCTTATAATTATCTAGTTGTCAATTACTTTGCCACACTTTTAAAAGAAAGCACACTGACATAGAAGAAAATGTGTATTTTGAGGAAATGACATTGTAATAATGTATTTTGGATTTAGAGAGACCCATTCTTCCAAAAAGCTAATTTTGGGTCAAAACATATAAACTGATTCATCTTGTCTTCATCTCTGGCTGGTCTGAATAACCCAGTTTATTAATGCAGACCAGAGCAGGAAAGGTTGAAATGGCTTACACGTAATCACACAGATAGTTGGTAGAGCTGCTAAGAAAAGCACCCAGATGTTCTCTTTGTTCAATACATCATCCTATGTGGAGCTGTATTGGAGGTTATCTCTCATTATTATAAGTTGTCACCTCATCTCAGTTCATACCCAATGGCAAAGGAAATTAAGAGATAAATTTAAAACTTAACTGGGCTTTTTATAACTTTTTTTGCCTTTCACTTTGAAGATGAAAAATATTATTTTTAGAGGGTGAGAAAGTGAACAAATTAGTTTTAGACCTTTATCTACCGAAACAATATCATATGCCTCTTGTCTTAGAGAGAGAGCATATTTTAAAATGACTGTAATTTAATATTGTGACTATGAAAGGAATATTAATTTTTACAAGTGAAAATAATGCACTAGTATGTAGCATGGGGCAGGTAGGATAGAGAGCTGTCTAATTTTGGTCTTCTGGGACTGGTATAGATTTTCCATCCAAATCAGCAGAAATGTAGCTTTAAGAGCATAGTAGCAGCTTTCCTTTTTGCTTGAAGCTTTAAAGTCAAATGTAGCTGGACGAGTTTAACATGCAGGCCAGCCTGTGACTAGTCCAGCAAGTTGTTAATTCTGCTCTTCCTGATGCTGCTCCCCTGTTTCTAAGTGGTCATTAGTTCTTTGGGTATATGTTCTTCTCTCAGCTTTCAAATAGTTATGAATCTTCTGAAAACTAAGCAACCCTAATATTCAAAGACATCAGCAGATAAGTTGCACTGATGTGAGGGCTGGGAAAGTCAAGAAGTGTAGACTTCCTCCTCTTATCATTAGTTGATTTAGCTTATTTTGTTTCCTTGCTTTTCCCTCTTTAATGGCAATTGTTCAAACTTCAAAAATAATTTCTTCTTTTTGAACCCAGTGACACTCTTTATTTATTTATTTATTTATTTTTTGCGGTACACGGGCCTCTCACTATTGTGGCCTCTCCCGTTGCGGAGTACAGGCTCCAGACGCCCAGGCTCAGCGGCCATGGCTCACGGGCCGAGCCGCTCCGCGGCACGTGGGATCTTCCCGGACAGGGGCACAAACCCATGTCCCCTGCATCGGCAGGCAGACTCTCAACCACTGCGCCACCAGGGAAGCCCCCAGTGGCATTCTTTAAGCTACATCAGAGTTGTGATTTTTTTTTTCATGATTCAGAAAGAGAATCTAAAGATAAGTATAACAAAGAACATATTGTTAGGGTTTGAAATGTGGTTGCTCATTATAGCCAAAATAATTTCAAATAGCTAAAAGCACTGAAATATATTTACGTAATGAGTTCATATGCCTGAAAACTAAAATTAGATGTTTGGAGGACAGTAAGGAGATAAGTTTCTTTTCATTCCTTAGCCAGAACATTGCAAATTAAGGAAAACTGTCTACTAGATCATTTTATCCTTGCTAATGGAACTTATTTTTCTCCCAATATGGTTTCTCCATCAATTATTCAGAGATTAAAATATATTATATTGTAATATTCAATCTCATGTATCTTCTAATGATCAGTAATTATCAGACGAAAGATGAGATCTCCTTCTACCTTCACCAGCCCCTATCCCCACCTGCCTGCCCCCCATATAGAATTGCCTGATTTAGATAATCACCCTTTAAAGTCATCTTCCTGGAGTCTGAAGGTCTTGTTGTTCAGTGTGCTCTGACAAACTGATTTGTTTAAATTCAGTGCTTTGTGCCATTCCTATGAATTTTAATTATAGTACCATTTTTTAGAAATGTGCAGTAGAATTCATGTGTGCCTAATTCTGAAAATGGCTTTGTACATTAAGGCTCATTTAACCACAGATGGTTAGAGAGAAGTTGAGAGGCAGTTATTGGTCATAATTTTAAAACACAGTAATAGCATGGAACTTTCTTGTACTGCAGGCATTTAAGATGCTGTGTTGTCAACCTCTCAGTCATTAGGCATGTTGCTATTTGGCTTATGTCTTACTGGTCAGGATGTCACAGTGAAGAAATGTTTAGTCATGGAAAAATCAGTGTCCAGCATGCAAAGATAGTAATAGGGTAAGCACTCCCAACTGGATTTTCATAGGAGGGATTGATTTGTGTGTATTACTGGGTCTGTGTAAAATGGTGTCCTTTTGGCACTAGATGAATATAAATTTCAGGAAATGTTTTTTCTTCTGCAGATTAGTGTAATACAGTGAAATTTGCTGTAACTGAGGGGAGGCAGTGGTTGGGCATCTGCTAATAGCCTGAAAGTAACTAATGAGGATGTGCAGTCGGAACAATTGATTGAATAGCTGCAGTCCTGTGTGTTGCTTTCTCGCTTGCTCTCTCTGCAAGCTGTAGAGAGGGAGGGGGAAGAGCAAGACACAGGGAGGGAGCGAGAAAAAACGCTTTCTCTTAAGTGGAAGTAGCACGGATCCCAGGGGCCAGGAGGCCAGAAATGGAAGTTTAAACTGCATCTATCTTTTAAAGGGAGAACAGC